AAGCTGAATGAGACAGCAGACTTCAACAGCTGGGAAAACATGTTGCAAAACAAGAAGAATTAAGTAATTCTCCATATGTACATCCTACTCTGCGGCGTTTTGGACAAGCTCAATTTCTCCGACCAGAGCAAATTTTTTTTCCATGTTGCACACACACCCTGCTAGTGACAAATCTTGATATAGCTTAAGCCTAAACCCACAGCACATCTGGAGCTGGGCAGGGCAGCTCTGGGCAGCACAGTCCTGCCTTCAGCACAGAAGTAATGCGCCCTGTGGTATGTGTTGGATGACATCCTTGGACAGCTATGTCATCCTGAACACATCCCCTGCTGCTGGGGACTTGATTATCCAAACATTTCCCCCTGCACCTTATAAAACACTCCTAACTGGATCATAGGTTGCCAAGGCCACCGTATTACCTATCTTTGAACCACAGCAGCTCTGTGCCCCATTGCTGCACCAGGTACAGAGATCACAGGCGCTGCAGTACACCCCTTACCTCCTCCTGTAATTTCAGGTCCTGTCAATCACGCAACAATTCGTTCCAGCAAGACCACTCACGTCAAAGCTGCTGCAAACCAGCGCGACTTGCGCTCATTAACAGTGGCAGTGGCTGTGCATTAGTGCCCTGCTAAGAGCTGCCGTGTTCAGGCACAGCTTGGCAGGCAGAGCTCAGCACAAGTTTAAGCCTGTCTTGCTTCCAATAGAAAATGAAGGTTAAAAGCAGCTGGGTGCATCTGTTCCTAGCCAGCACCTCGAAATCCATCCTGAGACATTCTAAGCAGCTTAAAAAGACATGCTCTAAAATATCAAGTCTCAGTGCTTCAAATTAAACCACAGAAGGACTGCTGTGGCCAGAGAGCCTAACCTGAAGATGAAAAGGTGAAAGAGTGGAGATTTTATCCATCTAACAAAGGCATATCAATGCTCATTTGTCCAGCATGGCAGTTCAGCCACTCAGCAGGCAAAGGCAGTCCCCAAACCCACTGAGGATGCACAGGAACAGAACCTCCCTAGGCCACAGGCAGTGCCATTCCACGCCACATAGCCACACACCATCACCTCTTGCATCCAGCCAGCACTGAGGCAAACAACTCGGTGAAATAAAGCAACAGAAATCCTATGCCATGCAAAGGAGTTTTAAGGAAAAGTCTTGGAAATGCAAGTCCCTGCAGCGTGGTCTGGCTATGGAATGAATGTTGGGGGTTTCAAGCTCGTCGCTGCTCCATGCATGCAATATTTCCATGGCAACGGCAGCTTTCACCTCCCCATCCCTTGCTGGCTGAAAGCCCTGCAGTGCTTTGTGCTGAGACTGCAAAGAGAGGAAACCATCTCCCCCTCTCCCGTGCTGGGGACAGCAGCAGCTGGGAACAAAAGCCTTGTCTTCAGCAGTCTTGGGAGGAGGGAGGCTGAGCAGAGGGCATCGACTTCCTCTTCTGGTGGGAATCAGTACTTCTCCCAATGTGCAAAAGTGCACACTTGCTTCCCAGTGCTGCACAACTCAACAGCAACATGTGCCTTTCCCTGTTTTACCTGAATCACCAGCTTTGGTTTGCTCTGTAGTGCTGGGAGGAGAAACGTGCACCATTAGAGATGAGAAATTCAACTGCTGCTTCCATGCAGGGATCTCTCCAAGATGGAGGTTGACCAAGCAGGCTGGAAAACCCCCCTGTTAGTAGGGAGCCAGGCTCCTTGTGCAGTCAACAACCCATTATAGAGCAAAATCTCAACACTCAGGTCTGCATGGAAGTTGCCTCAGCACCAGCACCAGCTCAGACTGCACAGACACGGAACACATCTGTAGGGTGGCCTGGACAACATTTTTCCTTGGCTAACTAAGCTTTTCCTCCACCCTGCTGTTTGTGATATTAGGATTCAAGCCCTGGCCACCTCACTGGGAGCCAAACTTGATGCCACACAGCTGGAGCCACAGTGGCCCTGGCAGATGGTGCTGGCTCTCTGCATGCTCCCTGTGCAGCCAGGCACTCGCAGCAGGCACCACAGCTCTGCCCGTTGCTCAGGCTACAATTAGCCACAGTTTGGTCCCTGCAAGGTGCAGATGACTGGAACTGCAGGTGAGATGAATAAGCAGTGACCTGGGTGTGTGGAGGGCTCTTATTGTTAAGCCCAGCATACAGATACACAGCCAAAATGAAAGCTTCCAGCTGGTTCCCATCACTTGCCTTACTACATATCCAGAGCTGGCCCAAATATGAACCAATCTCCCTCCAAGATTTAAAGGAAAGCCTGAGGGTATCAACATGAACTCCCAAAGCATGACAAAGGATCCAGGTGATGGAGCACAGGAATACAACAGGTCCACCATCTGGTCCTTCTCTCCCCACCCTCAAAGGGCCTTGAGGTTTCAGGAGAGACACATTTTGACCTTCCCTTCTCCACACTTCCCCTCACTTTAGGTTCAGCTGTGTGAGTGCAGTCCTTCCAAGCAGAGAGGGACTCCTTCCAGGATCACTCATCACCAACACACAGTCTGCCAGAGCCACTGCTAGCAAAGCCAATGCATCCTCTCCAACCTCTACGGAGTTCCCTAGATTAGCCTTTTCCTCCCTATGGGCAACAATTTCCTGCAAGCAAGAGCACTAGCTGGAATTCTTCATTCTGGAGATAGACAAGATAGCAGGAATATGAAGAACCAGTGCAGCTGATGCTGCGAGACACCACATCCTGCTCTCCAAATTCCTCACCCTCGACTTCAAATCCTAAAGTAGTTAAAGACTTCTTAGAAGAGCACAAAGCTACTCAGCAGATTTTCAGCTAATGAATCAACACAAGCTGTCCAGGAAACCAGAAATCCAGCCCACTGGAATGCTGCAACCCCGGGGAGGGGGAACAGGCAGTACGCTAGGAAGGAAATGAAACAGCAAAGCAGAAGGAAAGGAACATTTCAGCACTGACCTCTCTTACTCTGCTGCATTACACATTTTAGGAAAAAAGCAACTTCAATTCATTTTGCACATTGAACTGTTCATGTTCTTCAAGGCTGAATTCTGTTCCGTGGTGCTGACACATGTACATTTTGAGAACTACTCGGGTTTTGCACAGACAGTAAGAAAAAAAACTGAGACGGAAACGTGAATCAACATTGCCACCTAGTGCCGAGCAAACCTTCCCACTCCCACACTGGGGCAGTCCATCGGCACTACATTCCCTTTCCAAATGCTAGAGGTAGATGTTAGTAAAACCTATCTGGAAAGTAGGGAGCTAAAGTGGAATTGTGCATCTTTCATAAGCAGATTTCTCCCACCAATAAGTTCAACTTTCATGCCAGAATGCAAAGTTCACTGCTGGCAACTTCAGCTTCTCCAGACAACAGAATTTGACCTTCTTTTAACTTCTCCATACAAGCAAAAGGTGATACCACATCAATGTGAGAACACAAAGCTACGGCAGCCACAACTGTACGGTTAATGCACTCAAGAGGAATTTCAGTGATTAGCAGAAATCTCTGCTGAGGCACAGGCAGTTCCCCAAATCTTGCATGAGAATTCATTGTTGTGGCTACAGTGACACAAGAGGCCTTGTAGCTTCAGTGCCAAACAATGACCCTGTCTCAGCTCACTGGGACCAGAGGTAAGCAGGGTCCTGCATACATTCACAAGACTGGGAAAGATTTCTGTGCTTCTATTTCTCCCCAGAGCAGACAGTACAGATGCAGAAGCAGCAAGTTTTCCTAACTCCAACCCCTCACTGGACCTGAGGATTCTCCTGTTATGGCCATTAGCAGATTGAAATGAGTACAAAGATTTTCTGCCCTTTGAATATCTGACATTTCAGTGAGGTCTTTCAACAAGATTTTGTCAATTCCAACTGGATCTGTAATCAGGCAACCACACACAAGAAAAATGCAGATGCTAGTTCTCTGAAGGATAGCACATAAGGTTGTTTCAGCTTTCTCCAGAAGTTTTGTTAGACAAAAGAATTACAATTTTGTTTTGACTTTTAAACACCAAGTTCCTTGCTCACCTGAAACATTTCTGTATGTACAACACAGCAACCTATGGCATCCATAACCTTTTGTAACCAACATCTTCCACGGAAAGACAGGAATCCTGCTGTCTTTATCAACAGTACCCTGAAATTCATCTGTCCAGGCATACATTTTTACAGAACATCAGTAGGATCCAGCAAACACTGACTGCTGCCCCATGCAGCTACATGAGATATTCATTCACCTGCTACTAGTAAGCGAGATATCCTCCCAGGTCTCCTGCCCAACACTCCAGAAGAGACCAAATGGAAAGAATTCTGCAATTACCTTTCTGCATCGAGGGTTTGGGCA